TTTCAGTTAGAATGCAGACCTATATAGCGTAAACACTATCGTAACTTACGACAAAACAGTTTTTAAACAGTGTGCAAGTCAGTAAATACATGTATGTGTGTATGTGTGTGTGTGTGTGTGTGTGTGTGTGTGTGTGTGTGCGTGTGTGTTTGTGTGCGTGAGCGTGTGCGTGTGTATTCGCAAGCGAATGTACGTGTTTGCAAATTTATTCATGTTTTTGTGCTTTCATGTAGCCTGCATGTGCTTATGCGTAGACAAGGATGTTTTTGCGTGTGAGTTTATGATGAGTAATTTGTATGCCAGCAGGCTGTCGAAAAGATATCCAGGGGGAGGAATAGCAAGAGCATCGGAAAATATTGTTTTGTTTTGCGGTTGTTGTCTTTTCTGAGGTGGGGTTGGGGTGGGGGTCGTTTTAGGGGAGGAGAAAGAGGCGGAGAAAGAGGCGGAGTCGATAGATAGGGAACAAAGCAGGATAATAGGTGACACAAGACACCACGACAGACAGGGACGGAGGGAAAAGGGGAGGGTGAGGAAGTGGTGGGAGGGGGGTGAGGTAGGAGACAGGCAGAGCGAGGGGGAAAGGAAGGTCGAGAGAGGAAGCCAATTTAAGAGAGAAGATAGGGGTAGGGGCTCATTACTTTTGTCCCCGCGCCGAGGAGGGAGGAAATTCTCACCGGTGTAAAATAAGCTCTCGTCAGAGCCTTTCGAATCGGTTGGAGTTTGTTTTTATGCCCAGGAGCTGCGATTGTGATGGTATCGGAAACAGGGAGCGAGTAGGCGAGTAGTTGTCGGCCGCCCGCCTCCCGAACAGAAGCCATAAATCATTTTGTCGGCTCGAATTGTCGCCCGGGAGGAACGTGGGGACTTAGGGGAGGAGTAGTGGTGGCTGATGGATGGGAGGAGGAGGAAGAGGAGGAGGAAGCTACGGAAGGGGGGTGGGAGGTAGAAGAGAGGGAGGATTTTTGAGGAGGTTAAGGAGGAGGGAATGAAATTAAATGGAGGATGAGGAGGAGGAGGAGGAAGAGGAGGAAGATTAGGAAGAGGAGCAAGAAGCCACAGAAGGTTGGGGGGGGGGTAGAAGAAGATGAGGAGGATTTTTGAGGAGGTTAAAGAGGAGTGAATATAATTAAATGGATGAAGAGGAAGACGAGGACAAGAAGGAGGAGGGGGATGAGGAGGAGAGGGAAGGTGAGGAGGAAGCAACAAAAGAGGTGAAGAAAGTTAACGGAGAAAATAGACAAATAGATGAATAAATAATGGAGGAGGATAAGGAGGAGGAAGAGAAGAGGGTAATCTAGATGAGGAAGAGGACAACGACAACAATGTTGATAATAATAATAAGATATTTTTCAGACGTGAATAACTGAGGAGACTTGACAAACGAAAGCGATTTGTAATATTTTGGTCTCTTGATTTATTCTTTGGCCTTGACCTTATATTGATTTATTTTGTTGTCTGGTCTTGTTTTGTTTTAATTTGTTTCATTTTGTGTCTGTTGATTTTGTGGGGGTGGGTTGGGG